CAAGTGGTTTTGGGTCACGGGACTGATAAGGCTTGCCCAATGCGCGCAGAGATCGTATCCTTTGTCCGATCAACATTTTCGCAGGATTGGATAACCAAAAATTCTTTGATTGGTCAGCTCACCCAGCATTTTTCTTTAACGATGCCCGCACGATCTAACTAGTGGGGGAAACGACGTTTGCTGAGTGTTGCCTGATCGCCGAAGCTTTCCACATTCAGATTTGTTAAGGGAGGATTTGTTTTCTTCATCGATGTTTTGTCGCCGCATATCGTCCGCGTTCGTCTAGGACCATTCATCTACTCCCTTAGAGCGGTGGTCCTTTGGTATTCGAGTAACGATATTTCCGGTTACTCGTATGTAGTATTTCAAGCAGTCGTAAGGTAGTTTGTAAATCCAACATAAAGTGTTGTTATTACAAGAGTTAGTTTACAAGCATCAAGTTTATTGCAATTTTCATATATAATATTAATACTGTTAAAAATCATACATGATTTCTTTATGCTGGAGATGATATAATCCTTCGGTAAGTCACACACGGGAAGACCACGCATAAAATGTTCTTTAATTAGAGACATCTGACGTTTCGGACCAAACTCGGTCCGTCTTCAGAGTACATTAAAAATGGCACGTAATATTTCTCCTTATATTACTGATGCCGTACATGTTTACTGGCATTGACTGGCCGTCTGATGTTTACGGTCCGTGTGTCGCTGACGTCTGTTCCATGGTCACGGTTGATGCAGTTAGTTGCTATGATCAACAACGCTTCTTTGACCTTGCGGGAAAGATATTGTTGTTCTCGCGTGACACCTTTCATTTTGTCCCATATGATGTTGTTTTGATGGGTCACAGCATGTTCCACAATGGCAGAATTTTTCTCACATTCTGCTTTACAACCCCAGGATCTTTCGTCTGTCTCCGACCTCTGCCTACTTGCTGTTGACCCCTTTCCCTAGCATCAGCGTTATTCCACCTGATCAAACTCCTCTTGTGGTCTGTCTTCCTTTCTTCAACCGTGTTACCCGTTTCGCCTATGTAAACCGCACCAC